AATTGAAACAGTAAAAGTATGGTCTTTTTATGAGCTAAAATTATTTTTAGAAATTTTTGGGTTTTTTGCCAAAAGCTGAAAAAAATAGACAAATTATCAGGTGAGTTTTTACCAGCTAAAATTTGATTTTTGGCCAAATTTACTACAAAAAGTTTAATATTATCATAAAGCTTATATATAGCTTTAGGAAAAAAATCAGAAATTTTTAAAAATATTTTCTAACTGATGAAAAAGCCATACTTTTGCTGTTTCAATTACATAAATTATTAAAGTAGATGAAGGTTATATTTTGTAAAAAATTGCCTTGAAAGTTTACTTTAAATGAATGAGATACTGAGCTAAAAGCATGACTTTAACACCCACGCAATGGCTCATTAATTATTTGAGAGTTTCAAAGGGATGTCTTTTTTGAATGAATTTTACACAGTTTTATTAACTAATTTTGACAGAAAAGGAAATGAATTTATCAATAGAAGGCAAGCAAACATTAATAATACATTATTTATTATTTATTCCTCCATTTTCTATTCTCTCTATGTAGCTATACACTATCCATTTTATGGCGTCCAGTGGCATCCTGAAAAGAACATATTTGAATGGACGACAGCTTAATCCATGAACCATTCTTATCACGCAGTCTCTATTGTTCAGACAGCTGCTAATTTCCTTGTCAGTGAAGCAAGAAAGAGCGACCATCATTTCGCAAGTGAAGAGAAAGAAATGGACTCTCTAATTGTGACCATAATTCACAAACAGGTACCTTATGCCAGATTTTAAATTCTTCATTATAATGAAAAATATTAACCTGTGAGTGCTTTGTTGGACAGTCATTGTTTCTTAGAGTTACATAGTAACTTTTTGCATCCTGTGGAGTAATTTTATGATAACTGGAGTTCAGGAAGTTGGCTGTTTTTGCCTACAAAGACAAATTTCACTACCTGCCATAAGGTACCTTTTGGTCACAATTTATAATTATGAAACCAACCTATGCTCACAGCTTTTAACAAGAATACCGATTTTGAAATGTGAAAACTTCAAGTCAACCCATTGCCTATTAACTATGAAATATTCTTGCAGCTGCTGTCATTTATTTTGTGGTTGTTTATTGTTTATTATTGTTGGAGTTTAAAAGTGAAAATATTACAACAAATTGCAAAATTAAATCCACTCATTACTGACATTACTCTTATTTTGTTGAAGCTGAAAAGCAAAATGAAAAGAGCTTAATTACTGAACAGTTTCATATACTAGATCATCATTATTATTAGCATTAAAAAGCACAGTCTCATATGCTGGATTATTATTTGTTAGGACTTTTGAGCTTTGTGAATTGACATAATGAGGAAACTCTGGAGCTGGTATAACTAATAACAGATTTAATATTAAACATAAATTCAGTTCATTATAATTATACTGACCTTGTGCATATGCTGGATTAATAATAATTCTTTCTTCAGTTACTATCAATACAAAGAAAATGAGCCTGTAATTAATTAGATCTATTATTATTCATGATCTCACCTTCATTTCTTTTCCTTGTCAATGATTGTAATACAACAATAGTAACTATTACTATCATTATAATTGTGAGTATCATAGCTCCAATAATAGCTATAATAATATAAAGTAATGGCACTGTATTACTATCCTGTGATGACATGGTATGATCATTACTATAAGTACTGGGAGTTGTAGCTACATGTATGTCTGCATAATAACAAGAGTATACAATGAAATCATGATCAAATGACCCATTAATATTTGTACCTGATGTTGTCAATGACGATGAATGGAAAGGTACTGTCTGACTCTTGCCAGTATCAGCATTTGTATCTACAATGATCTTCAGATATTGACGCATTGTAATTGTCACATACTTATAATAATAGAAAAGGTGGAAGTAGAAGGTTTCACTTTAATAATTTCAACCAGTGTAGTATAAAACACAGCAGGTCCATATAATGCTCTGTTAATGATGTCATAAGCTGTCACTGTGTAATTACCAGCTGCTGGTAGTGCTACCAGTGTAAGTCCAGTTATATTAAAGGATTCATTCCTTCCATTACTAGTATCAGTAAATATCACATGACATCCATCAGCAGTTGATCCTGATACAAACACACACTGTACACTAACTGATCCATTGGTATATGAAGAGTTGATGATAATATTTTCTGTATGAAATGTAGCTATTAAAGAATATGTATTAATAGAAATCAATAATTCATTATAATTATTATTTTACATATTGAAGTGTTGTAAGTTGCTCTGGTCTTTCCTCTAAGGTTCTCAACAACAGCAGTTAGTTCATAACGTCTGAAAGGTGACAACTTGAATCTAATTATATGATCAGTTTCGTTAATAATATCAGTAACTTCAGTATTCCCATCCATTAGTGAAACAAGGCTTCTTGATGGAGGACAACCAAGCTGTAAATATTCAAAAAATTAATAAAGTAAAATAAAATAATTACTTCAAAAGAAATAGAAGGTATCAATGGCTGTGCATCGTATTCAGCAATTGAAAAGCCTAAAACAATAATACTTGATATATTTATATTTTCTTATAAATGTACTTACTTCCATTTGTCTTGTTAGCATCATCAATGGAAGTATATTGATCCAGTATTGCTGTTACACTGACGTTAAATGTGTCACATTCTGAAACATTAGGAACTGTAATATTTGTATTAGGTGTAGTTTGATCCAGTATAATATCTCTTTCATCATCAGTAACTAATACTTGATAGCTAACAGGAGATCCATGAGGAATATCATTTGAGAAATAAAGAGGAGGTGACCATGTTATTAATGAAGCATTTGAAGTGAAATTTATGTTCAAATTTTCAACTGATGATATGCCTATAATTATAATGAAAAATATAACATTATATTACATATTATATTACTGACATAACTAACCTCTGATAGTTAATGCACTACCTGATACAACACGATTAAAAGGATTAAAAGGATTTGAGAGATTATAAGAAATGACTTCACAGCCAATTCCCAGACCATCATTAATAGGTATTGCCTTTACTGTCAGTACTGATGAGAAGTCAGTATTACCAATATTAGTAGTAGTGACTGTTACTTCTCTTTGTTGTTTAATGGAGTCAGTTAGTGAAACACTTTCTACCAACCAATTCAATATGTCACCAGTTCCCTCACAAGTAAATATTGCTTCAGTGTCAATATGAGCTGTTGCCGGTTCAAGAGGCAAAGTAATGACTAGAAAGCATTACCACAATAAAAAATGGTCAATATGAATTAGAAATAAATTCATAATAATTGGGACAAGTAAAAGCGAGCCCCACATAAACGACATGAGTATGTGAGTATGTTTATATATGTACACGTATGTCACCCTATTTATGCATCTATAAAAATTATTTTGTTACACTTTTTAAAATGATAATTTTGATAATTGCAGTACCACGTGAAAGTAAAGCAAGAAATCATCAATTGGTAAAGAAGCTTAAGATGAGTAATTCACAAGAAGATGCAGCTCATCGACTTCTTCTTAATGAGCGTGATCAGGAGAGAAGAAGGAACGAGACTGAGGAGGAGAAAAGAGCGAGGAGGTCCAAATGCTAGAGATAGGTCTTGTCACGCCCAAAGACAACAAATGGAGTCTCCTTATGGCTTCTGAGACTAACTACACATGTATCTTCCATGCTAGATCTATATAACTGCAGAGATTCTTAACTCATAAAGCTAGAACAAGCCGATGAAATTCCTTCCATGCAAATTCTGCATTAGTGTATTGACATCAACATTCAACATTTAAAAGCCACTACATTTATTGTCTATATAGACATTGTATATTGTTAATCAAAAATAATGATGTTAATCATTTTGCTCGCCCCTTAATGTTATACATTCGCCTAGTAAATATACTCTTGTCTATACACCTAGGCGTGGCAGAGGTAACAATAATACCACCTTCATTTAACCATGAATACACTACTCTTAACTACACTGAGGAACTTGACAAAATTCACATATATCACCCAAGTCTAAACCCATCACGTACGCCTCGCGCACAGACGCACTTCATGGTTATTTTTAAAAGCGTAGAGAGTCTATTACTAACACTCACCGGCAAGTTCACATTTTAAAAAGCACAGGCTTATTAAAATGTAGAACAGAACACTTTTAGACTTCATAGATCACTCCAGAACAATTTAACCAAGAACATAAGACATAAGAGACAATTACAAATAACAAGCTCCGTATATTAATGAAATAACTCCGGAAAGGCGGTCTTGCCGCAAGATACGGTTGCCGGGTCTACTGTACT